ATTTAGTTGTTCTACCTCTGTTTGTGTTAGTTTAGGTAGGTAATGAGTTTCTAGAAATTTGTCCATTTCCTCTAGGTTTTCAAATTTGTTAGAGTGCAGTTTTTCGTAGTATTCTGTTATGATTCTTTTAATCTGAGTTGGTTCTGTTGTTGTATCACCCATCTTATTTTTTATACGTAGTATCGCTTCCTCTCCTGTTTTTCTTTTGTCAGTTTGGCCAATGGTTTATCAATTTTGTTGATCTTTCAAAGAACCAGGTTTTGATCTTGTTTTTTTCCTCAGATAAGTTGGTGTCAAGTGCTTTATCTTCAATCTCACTAATTCTGACTTCCACTGCCTCAATTCTGCTCCTATGACTTTCTGTTGAGTTGTCTAATTCTAAAATTTTATTGTTAATCTTTTGGATTTCTGACTGCTGTCTCTCTATGGATTCTTGCAGCCTGTTAAATTTGTCATTATGCTCTTCTCTAATCTTTTGATTTTACTCTATTGCATGTTCTGCGTTTTGCTTAATTGCCTTCCTAATTTCTTGAAGAGTTCTGTATATTAATCTTTTGTATTCTGCCTCTAGTAATTCCAAGAAATTTTCCTCCTCTGGAGAATTTCTAGATTCTTTATTCTGGGAGCTTGCTGAAGCCATCATGGCTTGCTTCTTTATGTGATTTGATATTGACTGTTGTCTCTGAGCCATCAATAAGTTATTACATGTATTTCTTTATATGTTCGCTTACTTGTCCTAGCTTCTTGTTTTGTTTTTATATGCCCAAATAGGCTGCTCTTATGAGCTGGTTTGATTATTGGCACCTTTGAAACTCTAATGTCCTGTCAGCAGGTGGTTAGATCTGTTACTAGGTATGTGAGCTCAGGAGTCCGCCCACTCCTCCTGTATGGATTCAGCTCAGGTGCCCAGGTAGATAGCCACCAAGTGTGTGGTATAGGCTCTCACTTACAGTCCTAGACAGGCATGGGTGATTGATGTAGGCACAGGCATCTGGCTGCAGCAGGGGGACACACTCTGAACAAGGCAGGGGGCTGACGACCACGCCCGAGTGTCCAGGTAGATGGCATGTCCCTGTTCCCTGGAGTGTGTAGGTGGGTGGGTTTTGCAGCCGGACTATGAGCACCCAGTGCTGTTGGCTGTAAGGACTGGGGGACACCTCTTATTCATGGGCCTCTACTGTAGGTGGCGTGGGTGGAGCCACCAGTCCTCAGGCCCCTGTTGTGGGTAGGTGAAGACCCTGTTTAATGGGCAGAGCCGTGTCAAATGTCAAGAACCTGCCACTTCACAGCTGAAACAGTTGAACTTAGAGTTCCGGTATATATCCTGTTGTACTGTGGTAATGAGTGCCTACGCTGTTGAGATGGGCTCACGCAAGTCTGTCCAGGGGGAAAGGCACTCAAAGTCCATGGATCCGTTATGCCTGTACCTAGGCAAAGGAGCTGTGCCTACCCTGGGTTCCTGGCTTAGGGGAGCCGGCAGTTTATTTTTTCCCTTGTTTGTTAATTTGTTCACTCTCCAAGGCCAGGAGAATGGCTCAGAGCATGTGACGGATCCTACTTCCGGCCCAGGGGACTCGGCAATTGCTGAAGCCAGTCCGGGACCCAGTGCAGAGCAGGGAGCAGGGAGGTAAATGGGAGAGAGGTTTTTCCCTAAGGGGGGCCGTTTTTGATCCGCGTTGTAGGCTGTACGCAAGTACTTATCTTTCACTGATCGAGGGCTGCTTCCAACTGGTTCTGGGTGGCCGAGTAGAGTCTCTGGTGCTGTGTCTCTCCCGGTGGGGAAAACATGCCTCCCAACACGGCTGCTTGCTTGCCTCACCGCTCACCCATGAGCTGTTCAGGCCTGAAGGGCTCAGGCTATCACTGGGTCAGATCTGGCAACTCCTCGGTGCTTGCGAACCATCTCTCCCTCCCCCTGCCACTCAGTCCAGTTCCTCAACTTTGTCTTAGATGTTCAGGGATCCTAGATTGTCATATATAATTGATTCACTTGTTTTTTCAGATCTTTGTTGTAAGAGGGTCCACCGGAAGAATCTGACTACTCCGCCATCTTGGCCTCGCCCCCTCTTTTAGTTTCTTGCAGTAGTGTTTTATAGTTTTCCTTGTACAAGTCTTTTACATCCCTTGTTGAGTTTATTCCTAGGTATTTTATCCTTTTGAGGGCTATTGTAAATGTTACTTTTTTTAAATTTCCTTTTTGGTGTTCTCCTTGTTGGTGTAGAGTGATTTTTATGTGTTGATTCTGTACCCTGCTCTTGTTGTCTCTTGTGTTATTAGCCTAAATCAATGCCTAGATTTATTAAGTCATTACTACTCCATTGCCACTGAGTTGATTCCACCTCATAGTGACCCCATAGGATAGAGTAGATTTCCAAGGCTGTTATCTTTATGGAAGCAGACTACCACATGTTTCTCCCATGGAGCAGCTGGTAGATTTGAACCGCGCTTTCAGTTAGCAGCCAAGCACTTTTACCACTGTGCTACTAGAGCTCCTTCATGAAGTCATTAAGGGTTGCAAAATAGTGGAATTCCAGTTCTGTCATTCATTTCTTTATTAGCTAGAATACTTCTATGAAGTAACTATTTGATTATCTATTATAATTTGTATAGGAAAGATAGAATTAGTAATATTTACTTCTTACCTTTTGTTTACTGGTTTTTAAGATAATGAGTTTGTGGTTCACTAGCTTCCGCCAGCTGAGAGCAAGTAATTTTTTTAAACTGTCCTTATGAACTCATGGGTTTAAACACACTTGGTGCGTTTAGGCAGTTCAGTTTGCCAGAGTAAATGGAGGGGATACTCATTGCTTCTTTGAAAATAATTTTAAAATATTTGGAAACACTAATGCAATTCTGTGAAAGTGCCCCTAAGCAAGAAAAAAGTTTTAAAGTATATTAGAGTAAGGGAAGTGAATCAAAAGGATTAATTTTTTAAAAAACTTGAATGAATAGTTTCATTTATGAAAAATACTCAGTGGTGCTATAAGGATAAATTAAGAAGGAAGCTCATATTAAAAATATGTCTTGTTCACCCTGGTGCTATTTCCTGTCCTTTATTTTCCCCAATTTCAGTTTGAAAGCTGAATGGCTGTATAGTCAAGGCAAGGGGAGAGCCTATCGGCCTGGCCAGCACATTCAGCTTGTCCAGTATTTGGCCACAGTATGTCCTCTCACTTCTACACTGGGTCTTCAAACTGCAGAGGATGCCAAACTAGAGAAGATTCTGAGCAAGCAGAAGTAAGTCCACTTATTTACAGTAGCTGATGAACTCATGAGTGAAAATACTGCTGAGCTTTTCTATGGTGTTAGTGGATCTAATTGCTAGGTTTGAGGCAAGCACTGCAGCCCGCTTGCTCCTGGGCACTCAGCCCTCGTCACTGTGACAGTGCTGCAGTGGAGCTGAGTCACGCAGGGCAGTCCCGCTCACCCATCCCCTGAGAACTGCATTGCTGATCACTTGTGGAGTGGGAGAACTGAGCAGTCTGGGGAAGTGGGGTTTTTAAAAAACGTCTTTGTGCTATTCATGTAGATGTTTCATGTGGATCTTTAAATAGCAGTAAGAAGTCTACAAAAAAAACAAAACAAAACAAAAACCAAACCCATTGCCGTCGAGGCCATTCTGACTCATAGCAACCCTATAGGACAGAGTAGAACTTCCCCATAGGGTTTCCAGGGAGCAGCTGGTGGACTTGAACTGCTGACCTTTTGGTTTGCAGCCAAGCTGTTAGTCACTACACCACCAGGGCTCCAGTAAGAAGTATAGCTAGGAGCATTTAGTTGTCACTTCTGTCAGAGATGAGGGTGTCTCTCTGTGCGATTGAAAAATAGGTTTCTTAACCTTTTCTATCCCATGTTTTCACATGAAGCTTTGTAATTTGGAGGTGATTAAAGGTACCTACTTTTAAAACATGTAAACTTTCATTTTTTAGACTTTATTACTTGGAAGCAGAAAAGCTTCCTCTTTGTTTTGTATTAAATTACATCAGACGTTGATTTTTAGGTTTCACCAGAGACAATTGATGAATCAAAGCCAAAATGAAGAATTGTCTCCTCTTGCTTCTATTGAAACAAGGTCGCCCCTTGTACCTGAGCATTCAAGTCCTGTTCAAGATTGCCAAATAATCCAAGAAAGTGGTGAGTCATTTGATCTGGTGGGGACCAAAAAACAGAAGAAAGTGCATATTTTTATAATTTTTTTATTAGTCGGATAATGTAAGTAATCATTTGGATCTCATTTATATATATATGTGTGTGTATTCGTGCATGTATATTACTTTTCTGTTATTTCAAAGCATTTATAGCACTGCTGCCTTTTATACAGAGCTGTTGCTTTGATTATTCTTAGGATTAATGTGAGAATTCATCTTCTTAAAGAATGTTTGATTTGATATTTTAGCCATTGTAGAGGAACTCATTAAGGCATTTTATTGCATTTTACTAAATTTAAGGGATTACATTTAATTAAAAGGATACAACTAAAAAGAACTCTTTAAATATTCAGTGGTATAAATGATACTCTTTGTTTATCCTTCCAGAACCCATCATCCAAGTCAATTCTTGGGTTGGGATAAGCAATAAAGATGATCAATTATATGCTGTTAAGAATAACTTTCCAGGCTCTGTACACACTACAAGATATTCTCGAAATGATCTGCACCTAGAAGACATACAGACGGATGAGGACAAGTTAAACTGTAGTCTTCTCTCTTCAGAGTCTACTTTTATGCCAGTTGCATCAGGATTGTCTCCAGTATCTCCTACGGTTGAGTTGAGGCTACAGGGTATTAACTTGGACCTAGAAGATGATGATGTAGCAAATGAATCTGTCAAAGGGCTGGAAAACCAGGACTTGGATAAGGAAGAGGAAAAGGCTTTATGGGCTGCAAAAGGGAATTCTGTTAAAATAATGCAAAGCGAGATCAGTGCAGAGGTAAATGAGAAAGCTGGGCTGTTGCCTTGTCCTGAGCCACCCATACTCAGTGCTGTCTTGAAGGATGATAAGCATAGTCTTACATCTTTTCTTCAGTCAGTTGGACACAGTGTCTTCCATACACAACCAGATAGTGAAGAAACCATGTCTCAAACAGCTTTAGAGAAAATTCCCTGTAGGATTTCAACCCAAAGATCTGTTGCTTTGGGGCAAGATAAAGTTGCCATTCAGAAATTGAATGAAGCAGCCACCAAGTTGCAGGCCTTTTGGCGGGGCTTTTATGCCAGAAACTACAACCCTCGAGCCAGAGATGTGCGTTACGAAATTCGGCTGCGCAGAATGCAGGAACACATTGTCTGCTTAACTGATGAAATAAGGAGGTACGTCAAAAGTCCTGTTTAAGTGCCGTAGGTTTGCCAGGCAGATTCTCAGAGCTGATTTAGCACATGGAGTCATTTCTGGTGTGGTCTGAACAATTTTCTCACACTGTGTTGGTACTGTTGGTTTGCTTGTTTGTCTCCTACAATAGACCAAAAGCATCTTGAGGACAGAGACTGTCATGTGCATCCCCATCCCTAGCACAGAGATTGGTACATAGATGCAGTATAGCAATATATGTTGAGTGAATGAATGTGAGCATTATGGAAGAGCTTTATGGGCATCTATAATTCTAATTGTGGAAAATGTAGGAAAACTGAAAAAGTATAAAAATGGGAAAATGAGAGAATCTAACTAGAACCTAGTAGGTGACATAAGCGTTAAAGGAAGTAGCAGGGGTTCAAAAGGGTCCAAAATCCTGGGGCTGTGGTGGGAATTATTCCTTAATTCCATGGCTCATATGCTTTACTCAGTGCCAACCCAGGAAAGTTAGGATGTCATCAATTTGTTTTGAATATTAATACCTCAACCAGCAATGCTTACTAATATCAGATGGAAGAGGAGGAAGCAGCAGAAGAGACTGGAGGGAGCAGTCAGAGTGGGAGGAGAACTTGGAGAGCGTGTGTCCCACCTCCAGCAGAGGAAGTGTTTCAGGAGAGACAGAAGATGCTGTAGGATGACGACAGGAGAATGGTCCTTTAGATTTAGCAGCTGGAGGTTATTGGTGACTGTGGGGGGGTGGTCCCCAACACTACCCTGAGGGTCAGTCATTTGCTAGAAGGGCAGAGTACAGGAGAGACCAGGCACAAGCTTCCAGTTTTCGTCTTCCAGTGGAGTCGTTTCAAACCGGGGTGAAGGCCAGATTAGGATGGGCTGTCTAGTGAGTAGGGGTGGGGGCAGAGCTTAAAGGGTGAGTATCCAAACCAAAACCAAACTCGTTGCTGTCAAGTTGATTCTGACTCATAGCAACCCTATAGGACAGAGTAGAACTGCGCTATAGGGTTTCCGAAGAGTGGCTGGTGGATTTGAACTGCCGACCTTTTGGTTAGCAGCTGAACTCTTAGTATTCTATGAGAATTCTTTTAATTTCAGTTGGGTCTGTTGTGAAGCAGCCAAACTCTTAACCCCTGTACCACCAGGGCCCCAAAGAGTGAGTACAGCAACTCTTTTTGGGGAGTGTTGCTGTGGGGAGAAGAGAGTAGACTGGTTGCTGGAGGAGGATGTGGAGTCAAGGAAAGTTCTATTTAAAAGATTGGAGATGACACAGCTTGTATGTGTGCCGATGAGAGTAATTCAGTAGAGAGGGAAAAACTGATGCTGCAGAAGAAAGAGGAAATAATAAGAACAGAACTGAGGTGCTTGAGAAGGTGAGAGAAGAGATCCAGTGCACAAGGAGAGGGAGTGGCCTGAGGTAGGAGCAGGTGCAGTCCAGCTGGGAGGATGGGGAAGTCCCGTCTGATGCCTCATCATTTTCATTAAAGTGGATGGTGTGGTCAACACTTGAGAATGAAGAGAGGGATAAGGATGTGGGAGACTTAAGAGGAGAAGTGTGAGGTTGTTGTTAGGTGCCCTCAAGTTTGTTCTTACAGCAACCCCAAGTGACAGTGTAGAACTGCTTCATAGGGTTTTCTTGAAGGAGAAAGGTAAAGAATCATTTGAAAACAGCAGTGAAAAGCAATCTGATATATGAGAGAAAAAGTTAGCCTCCATTTGAGATGGCTGTGGTGCCCTTAGAGGAGGGTCTGGCTGGGTAAAGGAAAAGTTCAGAGAAAATGTTGAGTATATAAGAGAGTTTGCTGATTACAATTCAGGAGTTAGATGGCACAAGGAGTCCCTAGGTGGTGCAGACGGTTAACGTGCTCAGCTGCTAGCTAAAAGGTTGGAGGTTCGAGTCTACCCAGAGGTGCCTTGGAAGAAAGGCCTGGCATTCTGCTTCTGAAAAATCAGCTATTGAAAACCCTCTGGAGCACAATTCTATTCATGGGGTCACCATGAATCAGAGTCAACTCCACTGCAACTCATTTTAGATGGTACAAGTGAAGGGTTTGAGAAAGTATGGAATTGGGTCAGAGCTTCAGAGCAGAGTAGTGATGACAGTCTGGGAGGTAATGGATAACTGAGGAGCACTGAGTTTCTGTTAGTGTGAATAGGAGAAGGTGGCAGTGAGCCCATAGCTAAAACTTTAATGAACGAGGGGGAGTGATGGATGAGGAGGTCTGTTAATGATGACAAAATGACAGGACCTGGGGGCAAACAGGGATGTGAAGTTTGATGGGATTAGCCCTGTTAGTCTCTTAGAAGAGGGTGGTTCAAGCTGTGATCCTGAATACAGGTAGTCCCTGACTTATGAACGGGTTTCGTTCTGATGATTCCCTTGTAAGTTGGTTCTGACATAAGTTGAACACCTTATTTTTTTCCTTTTTTTAGTTTTCATTATTATTGCCTTTTGTTACCAGTGTCTTTATAAATCTGATCTTTGTCTTTGGAGATTGGAAACATTGCATATAAGCTTACAGATATGATAACATTAGCAAAGTACGCTCTGCAACATTGTATTTAGTACATATTGCTAATGATAAGATGTAAAAAAAAAAAAAAAACAACACAGTCGTAAGCGCGGTTTGTCATAACTGCGGTCTGTCGTAACTTGAATATGTCATAAATCGGGGACTACCTGTACTAAACTCGGTGTGTTGGAGCCTTTGAGTAACTATGCCTTTCTGCAGCTTCTGCGTTTTTTGTGTTGGGGCTGGGAGGTTGAAGCCAGATAAAGAGCCGTTTCATATTTTATTTTTTATCACTGGCAGTACTTTGTAGAATTAATATAATCTGAATTTCAGCCACATCTCATTTGGCTTCTACTTTGAGTCATAGTTTAAAACTAAAGTTTCAGCTTAGATCTTCTGAAAGTGGAAAAGACTGTTAGAATATTGATCTGTTCACACTGCATGCGTTTAGTAGTTGTAACAGGAAGTGTACATCAAAGCCCCCTTCCTTGTATCAGTCATGTATTTTGAATTATTGTAGATTGAGAAAAGAAAGAGATGAGGAACGTATTAAAAGATTTGTGCAAGAAGAGGCTGTCAGATGCCTTTGGAACCAGGTAAACCCCCTCTTTCTGATTTACCTAATACGTGAACAAAGAAAAATTCTAGACTTACTGAGATATTCATAGAGTGGTCAGGTATATTAAACACCCTCCTCAAGGTGAAGGGTATGGCTTATTTACTTTTTTACTAACTCTGAACTAGGACAGTGAATTTTATTACATTTTATTTAATCTGGAGGAGAATATTTTCATAATTTTGAGAAGGAAGATAAAAGTCGTAGAAAGCTGAAGGAAAGTAGCTAAATTGAGAGATGTTGTTATAACTTTCCAATATATGTAAAAAACCTAATTGGAAATTTTGTGTAGTTGGCTGGTCTTATCTTGTTAAACATTATTTTGGAAATATTTGAATGAAAGGTGACAAGGACGGTATTTGATGGCTGTAGTGTGCTTGTCCTAAGAATGCATGACTGCTTGGGAGAAAGTTTGAATCTTGTAATAACACACTTCAGGGACAGTTCAGATGATGGGTTTTACTGGTGCTTTATTACATCAAATACTTCTTTTTTTTTTTTTTTTTTT